ATGTTATAAAACTTCCATCTATCAACCATGGTCCGTTTATGAAAACTTTAGAGCAAAATGGAGGCACTGTGTGTCCAGCATGTCTGATCTCGTTAACTCATTCATTCATCACTGAGCTGGGCATCCCCAGAGCACACCCTGGGCAATGTCATGGAAGTGCAGTCCTCTCTGGCTTGCTCTTGCCTGTGCTCTGAGTGTCTCGCTTGCTTTGCAAAGGTGACTGTGTCGCTCCTGCAGCAGCATTGCTAGTGTCAAAGGTGGTGTGGGTGCCCCACCACGAGATCCAGACACCAAGGTCTCCGTGGAGCACGTCTCATCCATATTCATTCGACACACACAACCTTGCTATAAGGAGGGGCTTCTTGGTATATTTCCAACTTTGCAGGCTAAAACAAAGATGCAACCCATAAAGTCAAAGTCATTTTGCCAAGGTTGGTTGGGCAGGAGAGGGGAACTTACTGTGACCCCTTTGCTCTTGGGCCTTCTCTTCTTTGACCAGCTTTGCCTGGGTTCTCGAGTCCCAGGTTTCATCCCCCCAAGTGATGATGCTTCTCCACAGAATTTTACATCTTACATTCACATGAGAGAAAATCATTGGCAAGGAAGTGCTGAGCTCACTTCATACATTTTTCTGGCTGGTCTCGTCTGCAATGACCTGATTTCCTTAGAGATTCTTATCTCTGAATTCATGTCTTGGCAATCCTAATCACGGCAGGAAGTAGCGTTAATATTATCAGGAAGTACTAAATAGGGACTGAAAGGTGGATTCTACCCACAATGCTTTTGTGGAGGAAAGAAATAACTTCTACATACTTTTATGTAGGCTTTGTTCATGAGCCCTGTTGCTTTACCACTGTAAGGCCAGGGTAAACAGATCATTAGGATAGACACAGAGGGGTAGCAAAGAGGAATATGATTCTCCATGATATCACCATTTTCAGGCTGAGCCATTCTGTGATCTGTGCTATTTCTTTAGGGGAAATCTGATTTCAATTGAGTCATATGGCTTTAAAAAAAGTTCCAACTCCAAACAGCACCACAAAAAGGAAATTAAACTATAAAAAGTGCATTAAGGTAAGAGTAGGGATCTAAGTTACTGGCCCAGGAACAAGTTAAAATCAAAGTTAGCAGCAGAACCCCTAAGTTCCTCTGCTGAGATGTTACAGATGCCACCAGTGTTTACAACTGCCTGATCTGAGACGGTCTGCCTTGCAGTGGATTCTGATGTCATCAGACTTGCCACCAGTGTTTACAACTGCCTGATCTGAAACAGTCTGCCTTGCAGTGGATTCTGATGTCATCAGACACCACCAGTGTTTACAGCTGCCTAATCTGAATGAAACAGTCTGCTTTGCAGTGAATACTGACATCATCAGTCATCCCCTTAGGACTTGGGGATCTCCATGTTCTTACAAGGATCCCTTGCTTTAACAGTTCTTGTGGAAAATCAGAGAAATAAAAAGTGCCATTTCCTAAGCCCAAGGGATGGGCACATTCTAGCCAAAAATACAGTTTCAGTGAGGGGGTTTAGTGGTAATCTGTGGGCTCACAAAGGATCTTGATGGCCCTTATATATTTGTTTGGATATATTCTCTCCTTGACTCAGCTTCTCCGGTCTTTACAACTCATGTTTCTTCGTTAAGGAGATCTGCATTAGGGGAGTCGGCTGGGTGAACAGGGGCTGCCTATCATCTACTCTGAGCAGCTGCTTGTCTCCTATCCTTTGTCTGCTATCCAAGGATGTCATGAGGACCATGCAAGCCACCAAGAAAGTGGACAAACTCGGGAAAGAACAGAGCACAAAATGTTTGCATTATCATGCAAGACAAAAGAAGAAACAAACCAAAGACATAACATAAGAAAAATGTGGAGAACAGGCTTTCCTGTTCTGCAGGCATGTAGACGTAACATGGATTTAATGTAGGTATGACTGTGCCCTTCCTAATTATTTCTTACACCTGGATGTGGCCCATGGGAAAATTCTCTCTGAGGCCGTGCATTTAGGGTCTTGTATATTTTCAGGTTTCCTTATTAAGTAGAAACCAGAAGCCTTTTTATGTCTCCATGGGGACGGCCCCAGAGCTCATATCAGCAACAAAGAAACTATAACCTGAGGTGTTGAGGTTAGGGCTGAAAACCTGAAGGGGCTCAGCCCTGGAGACATGGAATGAATACTAGGGACCTGAGCATCCTGGATTGCTGCTGTGGCCATCTCTTTAACAGTGAATACTTGTCATGTTTAAAAGAACCATCAACTTTTAGCAAGCAAAACAGTTTAAAGAAAAGTGTGTGCGAAAGTGGGTACATACACATATATAGGAGTATGTGTTGCCTTATAAATTCGGTAAAAATGTTTTAGGCTTGACCACTAATATTGAGAAAAAAAAGTGGTGGAAAAGGAAGGATGGGATATCTTTTCTGGGTGGAAAAAATTCTAGGCACTAGGTATTAATTGAACACCTGGAGACACAGACCATTGCACAATCGTTATCTGTGATCACCTCTTTCAAATGAGGTTGGGCGTGCCTATATTTGCTATTCTCCATTGCTAATTGTTTCCAGACTCATCAGAGTACACTTTCTGATGGTTTCCTCACCGAAAATGGCCGCTTGGAGATGCTCTGGGGTCTTGGTTACTGGCTTGAAGAACCTTAGTGATCGGTCACATAGCCGACAGTGGTGAGACAGAGCATAAAGTCGGGGGGTTTGTCAGTAAACGCCATGCTTGTGGGTTTGGGGAGGAGAGCTGTGGTTCGGGAGATGTGGAGATGAAGTCAGGGGAGGAGAGGCATGCTGGCAGCTGCAGAAGCGTGGGTAGACTCACCTTCAGGCATACCTCCGTCCTGCAGTCCTGGGGCCAGCAGGGGGCGCACAAGGTAATAAAGAGTGAGAACGTGACTGCTCTCGGGACTCAGGAATAAGAGCAGGGGGGTGTCTGTCACCCACCACTGCGGGAACTCAGTCTTTGCCTGCTGTCTTTGCACACTCAGCCATGTTCTGCCCGTTGCTTCACTCACAAAATGTGTTCCATGGTTACGAAGAAAGAAGCCCCAAAGCAAGCTGGCCCAAAGAGGTCACAAACAAACATGTAAGAACTAGACAAGAAAGAGGCACAGTGTCCAGTTGTCGGCTCTTCTTTGAAACAACTTCCTTAGTCCTCTCTTTGAATCATCAGGTTATATGAGAAGCTCACAGAATATCATAGCTCACAGGAAGAACCTGTCACTTGAATATTTCCTCCGCCTCAGGAAATGGGCTAGTTAACAGAAGTCCACAAATCAATGGCTGTTGGAAAAGATTTAGGGGAGCTAACCCAGTCCAAGCTTTGGTGAAACATGCATTCAAAAACACTGCTGCTTTGGGCTTATTCCATGCAGCACTTCACTTTTTTAAAAATGGGCAAATGTGATTGTGGTTTTCCTCACAGAAGACTCCTACCTCACTGGCTCCATTCTGCCAGCCTTTCCATGGCCAACCTCTAGGGAAAGTCCACAGGCTCATCAGAAAATAATACAACTTCGCCTGCCTCAGGGCCTTTGCATGTAATTGTCCCTATCGGAAACCCCACTCTCTATTGCTTCCCCTGTCCTTTGTCTAGCTATTTCCAAACCACCGAGCCGATATTTCCATCTCAGTCTAGACTTCTTCAGGAGACTCATCCCTCACTTACAGACTGACTCTGTCACCATAGAGTTACAGGCATTTTCTATTGTTCTTCATAGCATATAACAAAATTTACAAAGCTACATGCATTTTTGTAACTGTTTTACTTACTCTAGTCTACTAGACATAAGGGACTGGACCTCTGTCTTTCTACAGAGTATTGTCCCCTCAGAGTGAAATAGGGGTCTGGTATGGTACCTGATGAGGTTCTTCGACTACTCATTGGTTAAATGAAAGAAATACAAACAATGGTTATTTACCAGCTGCTAATAATGTATGTTATCTTCTGCTAGGCCATGGGAAGATGTGGAGCTTAGTTCAACATGGACAGCAAACTCTGAGGAAAAGGAATGGGGTGAAAAGGGGCCTAAGAAGAGCCAAGAAAGAGAGAGAGGCTGTTGTGAAGAGCTAGGGCCTTGCTGGCTAAAAGCTGTGTAAGGACATACGCAAAAATGGTGGTGACCGTGGCGCCGAACCTCAGATTGGTTAAAGCAGCAGCCATCGTTCAATACGGGGACCTAAAGAACACTACTGCTTGGGCTCTTCCCCAAGTCTTCTATGCCTCCTGACCCTTCTCTGGGTCCTTGGAGACTGGCCATGGTTCCACATTGGATTAGGCATGAGTTGGGGCAGAAGGGAGAAGCCAGGACTCCTTCCCGTGTCTCTGAGTGGCTCCCACCCCAGCTGTGTGTGCTGTTGGTGCTTCACTTTCATTGCTTTCTCCAGTGATGTCACATGATCCTGTCCTGCACCTGGTGACGTCCTGTGCGCTAGTTTTGTCTGTCGGCCGGAAATGGGCTTATGACCAGCCTCATGTTTGAGACATCATTAGGAAAGGCCTCTTAATTCCTAGGCAGTGTTTTGGCTGTAAGGGTCTGGGCTCTGCCCATGAAGGATCGCCATCTCTTTCCACTTCCCCTGTCTTCTGTTAATGCAACGACTACACCACTAACAATATGCCATCAACTCTAAAAATCCTGGACGTAAGCAATAGGAGTTAGAAAACTGCAGACTGACAGGGCATGGAGAATAGACCCAAGACTCACAGTCAGCAGCGTCCAGGTGTTTTTTATTCCTTATCTTGCTAGTTCCGAGGCTAGCGCTGCACATTTCTCTGCCCCATCACCTCCAAAAAGGACCACAAAGGGAAAGAGAAAGCTTGCCGGGGAGACAGCTTCTCTCCTGGTCTAGGTCCTATTTTACTGTTATTGGCTAGTTACGTTTTTCTCGCTAGACATATTGAACATGTGCCCCCAGATCTATAAAATGTCCAATTATGAAGATATTCAGGAACCAACTCAGTGTGCAGACACTTAAAAGATAGAAGACAATAAATGTTTTTAAACACATAAAACACTATTTCTCCTGATAGTATCAGCTCCCTAACCAAATACTTAGAGTAGAAAAATACTGAGACTGAATTTTCTGAGTGAGGAATTGAAGAATGACAATTTATAGCAAGTCAAAGTCTCTGTCTCTCACCTTCCTAGTACCTGAAGAGGCTGTGCAGAGGTATCGCTTCAGAATCTGCCGAGGAATGGGCTAATGCTTTGATCCACAGGGTTCTTCTCTCTGAGGAGCTCCTACCCCAACCCCAGGCATGAGACGATGGGAGAGAAGGCACAGCATACAGTTTTCCATTAAACTTAATGGAACTGGCCTGAGAAGTCACCCAGTACTTGGTAACCTGGAGGAAGGGAAATATGTTGGAGATTTAAGGTGGAATGCAAACCTGATTGTACTTACTTTGAGTTTCTCTGGGATCATTTTAAAGATCAATGCCATGTTACACAACTTGTGCTTGTCTGTGAATAGACTCCAGTCGGCTTGGAGACTCTGCTGTGGTTTCTTCTGAATTCCTGGAAGTCACTTTCCATAATCCTGAGGCTTCCAAGGACAGCTGAAGTGGCTGCCTGCTGTATCACCTATGAACCCTTTCCTGTCACTGTAGTGGAGATAAAGAAAGGTAAATATAAAAATATTCGGGCTGAAGTATCCCTCTGGACATTTTACTGAGCCGCTCTTCCCTGCACTTTCCAGAAGCTGTTTAGCTGAGGGAAAGCCGAGCTTTTTACCACAGGCCTTGGAGTACTTGCCATATAGAAAGGACTATTTATAGGGCTAATTTATAAGGATGTTGACTGATTCACAATAGAAAGTCACTTAAATAATAATTCCAAACCTTGCTGTGTTGTCCAGGGCAGTTTGACTCAATTCCAAGAATACCAGAAGACATTCTAAATACATTATTTTTAATTCAATTTTATTTCTATCATACAACTCAACTAGCCATAAGCTTGTTGTACAGATTGGGATGGGTCCCTTCACTCCTCTACATTTCTGTGTCCTCCCTGGGGATGAGGAGTTTGGGCTCAGTGCTTCTGCATTGCACAATTGCTCATGCTATGTTCTATGTGGGGTTTCAGGGTGGCCCCATTCCCACCAGCCATGACAGGAACAGTGTGTATCATGGACACTAAGTTTGGCTTCTAACCCAATAATACCTGTGGATGCCCCCTGTATGCCCAGCAGTTATAAGGCATGGTGCAAAACTGGAGAGGGAGCACAGCTAATTGGAGAGGAAGATTATTTCATTCACCTGTTGAAGAATTACCATTGTGTGCATGTGTTAAAAATGTACTAAACGCCAGAAAACTGGGAAAGGTATACACACACACACACACACACACACACACACACACACACACACACACTTTTTTCTTTTAGACCCAATTGAAACTTGATTTCCTTATGAAGACTCAATCCCCTCATTAGGAGCTCACAAGCTTGTGAGCAAGGTGGGTACTTTACCAAGGTGGTATCTTTGTCACATTAAAGAAATGACAAATTTTGGTCCTAAGAACTTCTGGATTCTCTGGTGTTTTATCTTACTTCTGTTTCTTTTCTCTGTTAGTGACTAATTGAGACAATGTATTTTAGCTGACATACAGTGAGTGGCAGAAACACTGTGGAGGCAGGTATGTGTAGTAGGTGCTGTCAAGGAATAGGCAAGCCGGACAAATTTATAACTGACACGAATGGACTTTGTTGTGAGTCTTACCCTGTACTATAGGAGTCCAGATGAGGAAGAAGGAGGGAGGGAGGGAGAGAGAGAAAGAGAGAGAGATAACACATGCATCCCTAGCTTACAGAATCAGAAAGGTGTCTTAACAGAAGGTACCACTGAGTGTCACAACCTGGTTCTTCCAGGCCAGGCCTAGCTTTCCTAGCTCATGCTTTTGGAGTTCCTGCTCCTTTGGCTTGATGTTATATTCTCCAGTTGTACTTACACAGTGCCTGTTATTCGAGCAACACCCCATCACTGGACTGTAAGCTCCTGCAAGGTGGAGACGGTCCCTTCTTCTCATTATAGGATCTTGAATACTAATATATAGAAGTTAGTAAAAATATTTAATGAATGGATGGATAATGGTGAGTTATAGGGGGGTTGAGAGAATGAAAGGTCTTCTGGATGGGAGGGGACTGAATCATTGCCAAGAGTAAATGGCACACATTAACCCTCAGATGGCTTGTATGGAAGTGACACACTGTACCGCATCCTCATCAGTGAGCCCTGGATAAATTCTGATAGCTGTGTGGAGTGTCTATGGCCTCTCTTGAAAAAATGGAGAGGAGGATGGATCACCTCTTATTTGCATAAAACTCCTCTTGTAGCTAGTAGGTGCTCATTAAATATTTGAGACCCAAATGGGCATATGGATGGATTAACTGATGCTTTCTGTCCTACAACCTTTTGGAATAACAGGCTATCATTGCCTACCCCTGCCCCCTCCTGCTTCTCACTTAAGCCATGTCTTTATGCTGTGAGAAAAATGGCGCAATATGGGGAAGAGAAAGCAGGGCATCTGGTTCACCAGATATGCATATGGCCACAGCATATGGCAAACCCAGGGCATTTGACCATCGTGCTCATTAGGACGAGCCGGCAAACCGGGTGCCTCACAGTCACTGTGTCTGTGTCGTTCTCCCTCAGCATGCCGACCTGGTGCTAATCATGGGGCACTTGCCTTTCAGAGCAGGCCACTCCCTCCACTCTTTACACCTTCCATCTCTCAGAAATGCCCTTCTCTTTGTATTTACTTTCAATTGCCTGTTGCCTTCAAACTCCCAGGCTGGGTTTTCTTCTGCAGATCCTAAGAAATGTCTACAAACCACAAACAATGACTCCAACAGCTCATGGTCTTCTCAGGTGGGTGGGAAGAGGGCACAAGGTTTATTTCCCTGTGATTAAACACAGCCTATACTTTTCTAAAAGCCTAGGATAATTATCTTTGCACAGACAAAAAGAAAACCCCACCCACCCTAGATCCCATGGTTTTCACTCAGGGACGCCCCAACTTCAGGAAGAATGCCAGTGAGATTGCAATCCACTCCAACCCTGGCAGACAAAACAGGAAAACCAGCAACTCTAACCACTCAGGCTGAATGGATCTTCAAAAGTTGAGGAACCGCACTGTGCTTGCATTTTGTGTGTTTGGTACACCCTCACCCCCCAATTCTAGCACCAGCCTTTCCAAGCCCACTGAATGTTTATATGTGTTCCTTCTCCTCAAACTTCCTCCTCCCACCTTACTAAGAAATTTCCAGTTCTCAGTGGCAATGGCTGCACCCTTCATTTGGTTCATTTGCATATTCGATTTTTGTTCAGGTGGTTCTTGTTGCGTTTCAAACAATGAGAAATGAGATCAAAACTCATATTAACCCCAGTGGCGCCCCCTTCGCCTCTCATTCATTACTATCCTTTGTTTATCGTCTTTTAGTGAATTTTCAATCCAGATGACAATACTTTCCCACAAATCAATTAGAGTCAGTTTCACCAGATAGGTTTCCTGGAGCTCTGACACTCCCCTGCATTCCAGCCATACTGTGCAGGTCCCTGATTGCTAGATACACATCAGTCCTTTCATCTGCCAGTAACTATCAAAAACTAGTAACAAATTTGTCCGGAAGGATTTGTTCTCAGCACACGTCCATTCTACTCTTTCTTCTTAAGCATTGCTGATGATTTGATTGAACCCAAAATAGTTGCAGATTTTTCTCGTTTAATACCCACTCCATTATTTCAAGGTAGGAAAAATGCAGACACTTTTTTCTCTTTCAAATAGTTTTATAGACAAAGTGAAAGATTTTTCATTCTTGCTTCAAATTCATTGTGAAAACAGAAGGCAGTTTTCCCAGATGGAAATCTGTCATATCATTATGGAAATGTCAGATTTCTACCCGGGGCATATTGACAAAAAGCCATGGTTTTTGCCCAGGGGGTGGAATTTCACAAATTTTCCCAAGAAGAGCTGTGCTCCATGGTAGAAGGCAGAGGCAATTTCCTTTCCTACCAGGGGCTTGCAGGATGGATACTAAGGTTCCGGCAAACCCAAAAAGAGAAAGGAAGACTAACATCCCCATCACCGGCTGCAGGGGCTTGGCTCGTACTTGGTGTCACTCCGAGCTGTACTGCAGAGCGTTAGGGTCACCCTCAGTGGTACCACACCAAATTAGTGTCTCATTGTATCAGACAGAAGGGAGGGGTCATACCTGATTCTACCACATAACTACCATGTTAGTTAATTGATGTGCTGTCCTTAAGGTGCCCCTGAATTTTGGTAATTTTGTTTTTCTCCTCTGGGAAACAGCATTTGGGATCTTTGCTAGCAGAGTTCTCGTGCGCATTAGAAATATTTGCAAATCACGTCCATGTTAATGAACGATAGGACATTTCGAGGCAAATGAAGCAACCCTAAACATTTTCATCTACTTATAGTCACCAGAATCTCATGCTTTAAATAGATGAAAGAGAGTTTGAAAGGCCCAAGTCATGGCAGAAATAGCCCTGGGACATGAGTTACTCTGTTATATAAAGTCTTGCTGCCCTGTGTAACAGCCTACAGACTAACACAATACAAATGGATCTAAAGATTTTCTTAAATAAAGATTTGATATTCTCAACCAAAGCTTCCTCCAAAGATTACATTAGGACAGGCACTCAGATTTACTAATACAAATATTTTTGTAGCCCAAATACCTGCATTAAAAAAATACCAATAACTTCAAACTTCAAAGGTCTGAACTTCAAAAGGTTTCTTGCATTCTGCTTGATGGGACAGCATCTTATGCACACATGCTTTTTCTCCCCTGCTAAATGCCTTCATAATGAGCTTGGGTTCAGATTTTGTGAATCGGAGCCAAGTAAGTCTATTTTATTATATTTGCTGGGAAATGAACTAGCTCGGGGTAATTAGGAAAGCAATTTTATTAGCTTCTATTTCATAAAGATTGTTTTTTAATCAGAGTCAGAACTTACTAGAAATGATTCTGTGCTCATTGCTTGGGTCTCAGGAAATGAAGGGAGGCACCATAGGTCCTAACCCACAGTAAAGGCAACGTGCTGAAGACAGAAGCTCTGCTCTTAATCTCCTCCAGTGCTGTAAAAAGAAAGCCAAGCTGACGACACTGTAAATAAAAGGGTCACAGCTAACGAGTACCTGTGTCTAGTTTATTACAGACGAGAGCCTTGAGAACTAAAGCACCTATGGGGCTTGCTTTTAATTGACTGTGGAGTCTTGGATTCAAGTTGTGGCTGTGTTTGGGGGCCAAGGAGGGACAGAGAGAAGGGACCCTGTGTTAGGTGACTCTCATCGGGAGACAAATGGGAGCAGGAATTGGGCCCGATAGTGTATTTAGATAATATACTGCAGCTGTGAAAAGACAAATGTCTTCCGGGCAAACAGAATAGACAGGGGGCAGGTGCTTATAGGAAAATGAAGATCCCTGCTCATGCTTCTCCTGGCAGCCACGTCTGAGCCCAGCACACTGTTTGGGGCACCTCATTATAAGGAAGACATCAATACTGTAAATTAGCGAGAACTCAGAAAAGGGTGGCGAAAAAGATAAAGGGAATAGAAGAGATGACCTATAAAGAAAGGTTAAAGGAACATAACATTTAAAGCTTGCAGGGGAAGGAGCTGAAGGGATGGAAGGCTATGCTAACTGTCTACAAATATTTGAGTAATAATAATTTTAAGGAAGGACAGGAGTGCTTGAGAATGGCCTAATAAGAAGTAACGGCTTGAAGCCGAGGAAAGGGGAAGATGTTGGTTAGCGGACATTAGGAAAAATTCTTTCCCAGTAAGGGCAATTAGGGATTGAAGTGAATTGAACTGCTGATGTGTGTGTGTGTGTGTGTGTGTGTGTGTGTGTGTGTGTGTGTGTGTGTGTGTGTGTTGGGGGGGGGCTGCAAGTGTAGCCAGTGTATAAGGAGAGGTAAACTGAGTGTCTAGGGATCTGCTCTGGACAGGACAGCCTAGCCCTTCCAGAGATATCTCTGTGCCTAGGGAAGCCAGGAGAACTTTGCTGATGTCTGCCACTGTAACTGAAGCTTTTAAAATGAGCATGTGCAGGGTGGAGGCGGACATGTAGCCACTGTCCAAGAAAAAGGCCATCATATTTATATGGGGAATGTCTTTCCAGAAAGCTGTTCTTTTCTACCGTTGGTCATTAGTGTTGGTATTCCTCCTTTCCCTTTCTAGCCCTCAAGACATTTACATAAATCACCACACAGCACCCCAGAAGTCAGAGCTAGAGTGGGAAGGCTGGGTGCTTCTGACAGGGAGGCCCGCCTAGAAATGAATGGTATGAGGTTGTGCACATCCATTTCTGTTGTGCAAGCAAAGGGAAATAGAGAAAATTGCCATGTTTTATCATGTTGGATGAGCTTGAGCAGGTGACACCTTGATCAGGTGTGCATGTATAATCACCCCCCCACAAATAATCACCATGTGGAATAACACCCCCACCCCCAAAATCTTGCAGCTTCAACTTATTCTCTACATCTGACTCATAAATCTTGGCCTTGAATGTGAATCGAGAGTCCGAGGTACAGGCTCAAGGTTTGGTTGGATTTATTCAACTTTAATCTTTATTTATAGACATAAAAGTATATTATTGGTTGTAACATCCAAACAAGAAAAAACAGATTGTAAGCATCCATTAATGTTTTCCCAAAAGGGAAGGGCACATTTCTCTCGGGTCTTTCCTCTCTCCCTTGTAGTATTAAGATGATGTCATAAACTTGTAATTATTTGGCATGTTCTTGAGCACTTTACATCACTTCGTACAGAGACACAAATCCCCTCTCTGATCAGAACGCACTGAGTGATTTGGTGACTTGCAATTCAGAAACCTGTGAAGTTTTGAACCCATACCATTAAACTCTGTTTTCTCAGGAGAAGGATACATTTCAAATCATGGGCATTGCATTATGTACATATGATGAGGAATTAATCTTCCAGATATGTTTTTCTTACTACCAGAAAGGAACATTATTTGGGCTAGCATGGAAGAGCTACGTGAAAAAACATTACTGCATTTTTCATGGAGACTTTTTTTTTTTTTTACTCACTAATCATATCCGGGAAAACAAAGATACTTTGTAAGAGGGATCACTTATGCATCATATTAATAGATGCTTCGCTTTTAAAATAGTTTATAATGTTTATTTATGCACATAAGGGGCACATGGTGTGCATGTGGCAGTCAGAGGACAAGCCGGAGGAGTAGTTTTGCTCTTTAACTCTGTAGGTCCCCGGGATTTGAACTCAGATGGTTAGACTTGTTGGCCAGTGCTTTTACTCACTGAGTCACCTTTCTAGCCTGGGTGTTTAGCTTCTAGACACTTGCTTCGTTGGGTTAAGAAGATTTAACCCACATGGCTGTGAGGGGTGACCAGCTGCTGACTCTCCCAGCACATCCCTTGAATTCTGCAAGAACAAGGCCATGGAGTCTCTACTTCCATCTCCCTCCTTCCCTTGGCTCAGCTCTCTCACGGCTGGTTGCTAGGCACTTTCATTCCTGACTTCCTCTCCTCCACAGACCTGTGGACTGACTGCGGGATTTCCCATGCCCTGGTTCATGTTGTTGCCATCCTCCTGACATCCCTAGCATCAGCTCTGCAGAGAGGAGGGCTTCTATTCTCAAGCTTTGCGTTTCTTAGTAGCTGTAAGCTGTGGATACTGAGTGGGAAAATTTCTCTGAGTGGCGGAGTTTGCCACAGGATGAAGGAGCCAGAATCCTGTGGTTCCTAATATGATCAATAAAGCTATTGACTTGTTTGAGAGTCAGGTGGAAAGGGTTAGGGGAAGTCTGCTTCTTCAGCTGTCTTTCTGCTCTGGGGAGGCAGAGCCCTCTTGTTTTATTTTACCAAGGCCTCAAGGGCTAGGGAACCATTATGGAGGAGCTCAGTCCTTTTCATCATGTGATGCCTGCTCTGCATCAAGCAGATCGGAGATTATGGGTGCTGTTTACCACCCTCAGATGTTATTTGCAAAGTTTGGTTCTAGGTCTTTGCTTTGTTGATTTCCCACAAAATCCTTTCCGTAACAGCACCCCCCCCCCCCCCGCCCCAGACCCCCACCTCACCCCCCACCCGCCCATTTCTTTGCATTCTTTATGCCTTAGGCCTCCAGCTAAACCACCACCTTCCTGTGAGTTCTGCACACATCAACCTTCTCTCTCTCTGAGGAGGCATGTGGTATGTGGTAACACTGTTCAAACCTCAATACAGATACACACTAAAGAGCTTCTTTGTCAGAGTATGGGCATGTCCCACGCCTCGACCATCCTGCGTAGCTATTAGCATCTGAAAACTTAATCATATGCTCTAAGAGGGGCTTTCATAAAAAATTTTACTCCTGCATGTTCATTTAAGATTTAGACTTGACATATTAACGCCAAATTTAAAATTGTGTCCTCTTCATTGCAATCCTCTGTAGTTACTAGGTTCTAATAAATATTATGTCCTCCCATCACGCAATTAAAATTTTCCACCTCATTTCACAATGCAAAACATTCACATGTTGTCAATCATTTTGAAACATGATTTTTTGACATCATATAATTTCACTTCATTTTTGCAGACAGACATCGCACCAGGAAATTATTTAAGAAAGAATCCTATTATATCTTTATTTTTCCACCAAATTTCACCTTCCATTGCAGTCATTTGTGTGCATTTCAGTAATTTCAACAATAACCATGCAAGGAGAAGAAGGAATGGTAGTCCTCGGGCAGAAACTCACCAATGGCTGGCTTTGGCAATCCTCAGGGCTGAGGCTCAGTTCCCAGGACCAGTTAGCAAACACGGTATAACCATGGGAAGTTTGCAAGCCTTGCTGCAGAAAGTGAAAAGGTTGCTGCTTCAGACAGCTACCACCTGGGGAGCTGGGAGAAAACCACGCGTGGGCTTTTGAACTCTTCCCTGTTTAATAACTAGCAGACACTAATGATTTGCCAAACATCCTGATTTCAAATGGCGGGAGCGCGGAGCAAGGCTGCCTGCTGGTTGTCAGGTAGCCCACCTGTTCTCCATACTAAAGTTCCCCTGACCTGTGCCCAGCGGAAAGCTGTTATCCTTTACAGCACTGCTAGATGCGCATGTACCTCTTGTTGGGTTCCCTGGCTAACACTCTGCGCTGCTGTCGGCCAGAAGCTCCTTCCTGGAAACTCCATGTTGCCTTTTTAATGAAGGAAGATCCTTGGGGAATGATCTCTCTCCTGCTCAGCCTTTGGGGGGCGGGGGTTGGGAGGGGGCTGGAAGGGAGGCTGCCTGGTGCGGGATGGCTTCTCCCATCTGAGCAGGGAAGGAGAGCCAGTGGAAGTGTGGTCCTGGAACGGCGCTCTGCAGTACCAGCAGGAGGAAGTGGGCTTCCTAGATTTTTTGAGAAGGGTCAACCACATTATCCAGGTCCAGGTCCAGTGTCTGTGAGAGGAAAATAACAAAATGAGGCACAAGTGTGGGAGAGATGTGACTAGAGAAGTGTAGAGATGGTCTGGTACAACAGGAGACAAGACGTTTAGAGCACAACACATTTTGTTGTGACCTAAAGTAGAAGAGGATATTAAGTGCCAATTTGTCATCATTTGTTATCCCAGGAAAGTTAATTTGATTAGCCTTCAGCCAAGATCAGGGGACTTTATAATGGTCTGAGTCATTGTTTCCAGCTCATCACAGAGTAACAAGAATACAAGACCCGCTTACCATCCACTAGGCTTCTTCCTCTCTCCCTTTCTAGTACTTGGTTAGGCTGTTCTAGATTTAATGTACATTCTGGAATGTAAGTGTCAATACATATATCAGAGTTTTGGTAGCATAGGAAAGAATTTTTCAATAACCTTTGATTATTATATTAATTACATTCAGGATTTTGTTAATGGTTCATCTGTAAAAGCGTATGGAATGTGTTGAGATTTCACAGGACATTCTTAAGTATCTACTATATGCTATGCTTTATAAAATTATGTCTTTTAAGGCCACAGTGACTCAATGGATTTGATATTATTGTCTCTGTTTGACACTGTGAAATCCAAACTGCGTGAGTGGAGTAGCAGAGCTCAGAATCCAGTCTCCTGCATCCTAAATGTTTGTTCGATGATTGTTGACAATTAAATCCATACCATATTCCTTTATGGATATTCATACATGATTATCCATTAATTATACCCACGTGTGTCAGAATTCCCATCTGCTTTTTGATGGACTGACTTGAAAATCAGGGATCCTTCATGATTAAAGCACAGGGCACTGCTCCCCCATCTCCCTTCTAGTCAAAGGCCTATGTAATGCTCTTTAAAACCCAAGCCAGAAGGTTGTCTCCAGGGATCAGGGGATGCTTAACTTTGTTCTCTGAAGCCAATTGTGCTACAATGAAGATAGCAATTAGCATTCATCATCCTTGGTGATTTTTATCTCCCTCTCTGGGGTTACATAGTGCTTATCACTGTGATACCTAAGTGCACCGACATGCTTGCTGACTTCTCAGGAAATAACATGGGGAGGTGGAAGCCCCTTCCTCTGAAATGTTCAATGCCTAGCTAGCTCATGGACAACCATGGGACCTTGTCAGCCTCTCAGATATGTTGTTCACTGAACTCCTACATTGTCTACACTTGTGCAATATTGTAGCAAGCAAATTTGTATGTGGTAGCAAGTAACCCTTTGAATTGCCAGATATCCGGAAAAAATCAGTGCTGTTGTGTGTCAACTTATTAATTACTTTGGCAGGAACAACTTGGTGTAAAGTAGAGAAGGTGCTCCATTCAGCTTTAAAGAAAGTATCATTAAAAGGCTCACAGGAATTTCATGCAACCCACTTGTACTAACAGGAATGCGGAAATGAAGAACTCTTAGGCCCTCTCCCTCACCCCTTTACCTCTTTCCTGTTTCTTTTTGTCTTTATTTGTGCTACCCATCATGGCTGCCTTCAAATGACGACCTGAGCCTACAAATCTATATAATTTTTCAGTTCCCATTCCTCACAAAGTAATACCATTTCTAGTTTGCCATTTCAGATTCCTGAGAGAAAGAGTCCTCACCGGTCCAATCACATGGCCTTTTCCCCTTCAGCAGTGACGCCCGGGGAGGGTGGGTAGAGACGGAAGGACACGTGTGTAGGATTTTATCTACGGGGCAGGTCTCATAAGAAATGGTGCAAGGGTAGAGAGCTTCATCTCTTCACAACCAAGTTTAGTAAGGATTGTACGTGGGGAGTGGGCTATCAATTTTTAGATCACATAAGAGTGGAAAAAACAAAACAACTCCAATGTAGAATCCATGCATGGGATATTTTAGGCAGAGCCTGCTGCCAGAGAGCACCAGGGAGAAGAAACACCTGCCTTCAGTTCTTCATTCTGTCCTGGCTGGAGTCACAAAGCACTGAACAGAAGCTTAAATTGCTGTTTCTACACACAAACCAACTTGATGGGATTGGAGGATAGACTTCAGCTGGCTCTTCTTCCACCCTGCCTACCTGGGAACACCTAAAAGTCGTCTCGTCCACCCGAACCTCTGTGCTGTTCATAGGTCTGCTCAGCCTTCACCAACCACTGCCAGGTGGGGATGGCTCCAGTGTCTTTCTGGGCACCAGCAAGACCAGTTCTCTCTTCTTCTGTTTCTCTCAGGAAAATAACCAGCTTTCCAGGAATCTTGAGTAGATTTCTGTAATTTACCAAGAAAGACTAGATTAGACTTCATGTTGGGGAAGATTCCACCGAAGGCCCAGTTCTCTGGGTCACAGTGTTGTCTTATCTAACCACTTCTCTCAGTTCACTAGATTTCGGCTGGAGCAAGAAGGCGATTCATCCCATGAACTAAGAGTATCTGCATTCCAACAGGTTGAGGTATCAAGTGCCTTCCTTTCATTTCTTGTTCCCAAGCAAAGTATTGCGCAGATCACAGGATGACCAATGTGGCTGACTGAGTAAGAAATATGATACCACTTCTAATACTCTATTTGCATACTTTTTTCTTAGAAGGTTTTGGTCCTAAATTTGTGGCTGTTTCCTCTTCTAAATTGCTTTTCACCTCAGTTAGAGACAGGCTGACTTGGAGGTGCATGAAGCCTACATTTTAATCCTACTGAGAGAAGTGCACTAACATAGAGTACTATTGCATTTTCCCCATGTTCTAAAGAAAGTGTTTGTCCAACACTGTCAGTCTTTTGTCTTTCTGAGCGGCTTAACCTTGGGGTGAGGATGCCAAAAGATGGCCATTGTACATACCATCTAACTGCTCCATAGGTAAAATACAAAAATGTGGCGAACCCCAACCTGACTGCAGTCATACAGCAACATGAAGAGACAACTTGGTTTTTGAAAGAGCTACTAGTTTATTTGTTTTAAGGATTGCTTCACATGGGCAAAAGAGAACAGCCAGAGTCCTTCAGCCTTGTTCCTGACTGTCTGGAAGCTGACAATGTCCCCTGTTCAGCCTTGTTCTTGACTGTCTGCACTGCAGCTGCTTCCCACCTCTGTGCTGACTCAGTGTGTGCACTCTCCTGTCCTCTTCTCTTCTCTCCTCTCCTCTCCTCTTTTCATTCCCCCATCCTCACCCCTACCCCCACACTTCTCTCTTTATCTCCCCCACCTCCCCCTCCCCCCTACATTTCTAATTCCACCTAATATTTCCCATCCTTATTTCAAGTTTCTCTTTCTGTTTCTGGCCCCTGTCTTTTCCCAAATCTTTATGGTAATCCTTAGGGTATGAAGTGGTATGAAAGATGGAGGTAACAATTTAGGGTACACAAGATGACTAGAAATGACCAGGAGATGGGAGAAACTTTTACAGTAAAGGAAACAGACCCCAGGAGTTGCAAGGAATCTTGTTCTGGAGCTGTAGAACACAGACACAGAACAACCCCACTTGTGCCCACAACAGGCTGCTGGTGAATAGTCTGCCACCATAACTATGTCCCATTTCCACAATGGGCCTTTTCATGGAAAAAAAGACTTTGATTCTTTCTCCTTTAATAACATTTTCCATGTAAATACTATGTTTGTGAGGATTTTTCTTATTTATCTAACAAACATTTCTATAGTGCTTATTATACACCAGAGACTGTTCTAAGTAGTTGTAAAACAAATATTATTACTCCCCTTTACAAATAAAGACAGAGAGGGAAGAGGGCACAGGTAATTGACTGCACATCAAATCCGTCACGGAGAACTGCCGCTTGTGCCTGGGCTGGCAGACCTGGGCTTCCTCTCCCCAACACACAGCCTTGCTCCCAGCTATCTGTGGTGATATTGTGTTCTCCAAAATATTGTGTACCCTAATAAACTTGTCTGGGGTCAGAGAACAGAACAGCCACTAGACAGACATAGAGGACAGAAAATGGTAGCACCTTTAATCCTAGCCTTCTGGAGGCAGAGAACCATCTGGATTTCTGTGAGTTCAAAGCCACACTGGAAACAGCCAGGCATGGTGACTCATCATACCTTTAGTCCCAGGAAGTGAGCACAGAAAGCAGAAAGGTATATAAGGCGTGAAAACCAGGAACTAGAGCTGGTTAAGCTTTCAGGCTTTCGAGAAGCAGTTCAGCTGAGATTCATTCTGGATGAGGACTCAGAGACTTCCAGTCTGAGGAAACAGGATCAGCTGAGGAGTTGGAAAGGTGAGGTAGCTGTGGCTTGTTCTGGTTCTCTGATCTTCCAGCATTCACCCTAATACCTGGCTCCAGGTTTGTTTTTATTAATAAGACTCTTTAAGATTCGTGCTACATCTATCAGCCAGGATAACACTTCTGAACTTGAGGATATGTTGGTGGGTATATGTTTTGGTCTCGTTAAGAATCTTCCAAGAATTCTCTATATCCTTACAATGATGACAAAAACCTACAGTGGAGAT